TCCTTGGGCCAAACCAAAGTCTACCAAGGCATATCTAAGAAACAAAAGCAGGTTTTTAGTTCTCTATAACAATTAAAGCTTATTAACATCACAACTATAGTCATACAGAAACTGCAATTCTTTTGGTGACAAATTAAGAATTTATAACATTCTTGAAAAAAGAAACACAAGTTTTACAGACAAGGATTTAATAGCTAACTAGGATTGAAAACTAAGGAAAGATGTATCACACACACACCCCCACACACAAATCTTTTATCCCCTTTTTCCAATGGCTTCTACTGGCAAGAAAGACTAGGAATAAAGTGTATAAAAACAATTCTTTCTTCTCTAATGGTACCAGAAATGTCATCATAGCAAATAATTTTGTTGCTGTTGTTAATCCTCACCCAAGGATATTTTTTCCATTGATTCTTTGACAGAGTGGAAGAGAGGGAGGGAGGAAAAGAAGAAGAGGAGAGAGGAGGAGAGAGAGAGGAGAGAGAGAAATACTCATGTGAGAGAGACACATCAATTGGTTGCCTCCTGCATGTGCCCCGACCAGGGCCGGGGATCTAGCCTACAACCCGGCTACATGCCCTTGACTAGGAATTGAACCCACGATCCTTCTGTGCTTGGGCTGACACTCTAACCACGGGGAAACCCTGGCCAGGGCAGCAAATAATTTTTAACACATTGCGTACCGCATAGAAATCTCTAAGACATACGCCAGGGACCACACGTTTTTGGGCAAACTGCACATTATTTAAATCATCATAATGCACTTTAGGTGTTGTTTTTCAATAATTATAACATTTTTATTTACAAAAACAATTAAACAATTAAAGTTCCTAGTACTCTTTTAACATATGGTTCTGCGTAAAACATTTTCCTCTATGAAGAGGGACCAAACAAAATTTACATAAGTATCTAGATTCGCTCCTTTTTCCATGGGCATGAAAAACGAGAACACTCGTGAGCGATCCTTAACAGATGGCGAGCAAAACACGAGAAAACTCCTGAGCGGTATGAAATGTGTTAATTGAACAAATTTAAAAGATAAAAGTTACAGTTCTATTCTTCTTACCACACTTAATATGATCCATTGAATGAAGAGTAATATTTAAGTTTCAATGCCTCTATGTATACGTATAATGAGCATAAAATTATAAACACAATACTTAGTGTTGGAACAGGAAATGGCTATCATGTGGTCCAATCCCCTCATTTACTAGAAAAGAAAAATGAAGCTCAGAGATAAAAAGAAATGTGTAAGGTCAAAAAGGACGAGACCCTTTCTAAGTTTTTTAGCTGAGTGCCATTTCCACTGAGCCATGGAACAGCTAATGATGCACATTGCTTTACTAATACAAATTTACCTTCTTCACTATATTTCCCTTCTCTGATCATAACGAAAATCTGAAACAGGCAAAATCTGTGCATGGCTGTTGTAGTATCTTCTAAGTTCTAGGAGATAGATCCCATAGCACAAATTCATTCAAGTGTACATCTTTTCTGGTAACTTTCCATACTTACTTTTTCAGGCGCCTATTATATAAAAAATTGCTGGGCTTAACATCACGGTGAACAATACCAAACTGATGAATGCGTTTCAAAGCTTTGAACAGATTGAACATATATTCCCGTACTTCTTGAAAGGAAAGGGAATTCAAGATATCCTAAAATAAAGTTATAAATAAGGTCATAACATTTTTAAAATTAAACATTTAGTTAATAAAAATTTAAGAAATATTAAAACCTACCAAAAAGGATTCATGCTCCAGATATGGCATAGCAATAACCACATGATCATTTTTCCTAAAGCAGCATTTAACTCCCATGACATTGTCTTGCCCCCTAGTGGAAAAATGCACATTGAACTTTAGAGGAAAGGTCAAATAAACTGAAACTATATGCCTATTTTTTTAATGCAATTTTAGCAATGCATAAATAATGCTAGAAAACTAACTTAAAACTATCATCATATAGGAAAATATACATTTAACTGACTTGTACAAGATAAAATTTTTTTAAAAAACAAAAATAGCACCAGTTATAAAATTACTATAATTCAAACATGAGATAATTATAGTTTTAATTGGATGGCAGAATGAAAAGAAAAAGATGAATAAGAATGAATTAACAAGATTAGTAGCAGATAAGATAATGGTAATAAATAAATTAAAAATAAATAAATTCAAAATAGAGCTAACATTTATTCACTATATGCCAAGCTCTGATCTAAGCACTTCACAACTATTAACAAATTCACTTAATGTCCACAGCCCTATGAGGACGGTGATTTTATTTCTTCCCCCTTTTCTACAGGTAAGGAAACTGAGGCACAGAGAGGTTAAGGAACTTCCCCATTAAACTAGGATGTCATGGGGCCAGGATTTGATTCCAGGCAGTCTGTCCTGATCTATGCTCTTAACCACTATGCTACCCTGCATCTCATAAAAGGGTAAAGATGATTTCCATGGCTTTGAATCTAAGTGAATAAAACAGCATAGATGCCAATAAAATACAAACAGAAATCAGGAAAAGAAGCTTCAAAACCAAGACCTCATTATGTTGATAAAGATATTGAGATATAGGACCAAATCTTAAGTGAAGGGTCAGTAAAAATTCTTGCAGAGAAGTGATAGACAGCAGTGAAAATTATTAGAGAGAAAAGTAAACTTTGGAAAATTCTCAAGTTGGAGGTCAAAATAAGGAGGAAGGGGCAGCAAGCCCAGACGGAAATATCACCCAAGGGAGGAGCTTTGAAAAAAGGGGTGGTCAGCACGGAGGTCAAAAAGAATAAGAACTGAGGGAAGGCTTTTAGTTTGGCAAAGAGGAGTTAACTGGTAATTTTTCAGAGAGCAATTTAAATGGAGAGAAAGAGGGAAAACAGGATTTAGGGAAGGAAAATAGATGGAATTAGAACACAAGGACAATTTGCCTGAAATATCTGGCAAAGAAAAAACCAGTGTGGGAAGCTAGAAGGGAACCAAGATCAGGTACTTTTTTAGCATGCACTTTTGAAGTACAGGGAAAGAAAAGAAATTATCTTATTCAAGGAATAAGAATGCATACAATAAAAAAACAAACAAAAAGAATGTATATCATCATGCCTTGGAGAGGCCATTTCATCCTCTTGTCTTCTATAATAAACAGAAGAAGGATGAAACAAAGAAATAAGCTTGTTCATTCATTCTATAAATATTTAGTAGGCACTGTTATTTGCTAGACACTATGTTAGACGTTATGGATGCAATGGTGAATTAAAGTTAACACCACTTCTGCCCTCATGGAGTTTATTATCAGATAATAAACAAGGTAACAAATAGTGACAGATTATGAGTTTTTAAAGAGATAAAAGGAGCTGTGACAATAAGAAATAGGAGAATCTAATTTAATTCAGGGAAGAATTTGAAGTGGTGCCCCTCTTGCTGAGATGAGGAGTCAGCACTGTGAGGAGTCTTACTGAAGGAGCAAACACTATGGGTAGTGGCCCTGGTGAGGTAAGAAAGCTCTTGAGACAAATTTGAGGAACTAAAAAAACCGGAGCACAGTGAGGGAGGTGGGAAGATTGGCATGAGACAACGCTAGATTTTTTTTCAAAGTACCCTGGGAAACCACTGAAGGATTTTAAGTGGTAAAGTAACAGTACCCAATTTATAACACATACATACATATTTTTATATTTTAAAGATTACTCTGGCTGTTTTGCAACCATGGGATTAACAGGGACAGAGGAGCCAAGTAGTGGTTGAGAAAACAGAAAGATGTTGGATGAGTTTTTAGATATATTTTGGAGGCAAAATGGCCAAGACTTGGTGATGACTGTGGTTCAGAAGAAAAATGGAGAAACTGCGAATGAGTACTAAGTTTCTGGGTTAAGCAACTGGATAGAGATGGTGGTACCGTTCATTGCGATTGGTAGAGGAAAACCAGTTGCTGCAATATGATTTTTGTTTTTTGGTAGGCAAAGGTGGATTAAAATTTAGTCTTTGGCATATTACGTTTGAGATGTTTATTAGGTACCCAAGTGGAAAATAAATGAATGGGACTATATAAAACTGAAGAGTTTCTGTACAGCAAAAGAAATGGACAACAAAACAGCCAACCAGATGGGAGATGATATTTGCAAACAGTAGCTCCGACAAAGATTTAATTTCCAAAATAAGTAAAGAACTCATAAAACTCAACACCAAACAAATAAATAATCCAATCAATTAGTGGGCAGAGGACCTGAAAATACACGTCTCCCAAGAAGACATACAAACAGCCAATAGATATATGAAAAGATGTTCAACCTCACTAGCAATTAAGGAAATGCAAATTAAAACTACAATGAGACACTACCTTACACCTGTTAGAGTGGCCATTATCAACAAGTCAAGCAATAACAAGTGTTGGAGAAGTTGTGGGAAAAAGGGAACCCTCATTCACTACTGGTGGGAATGTAGAAGGTACAACCACTATGGAAAGGAGTCTGACGATTCCTCAAAAAGTTAAGAATAGAGCTACCATATGACCCAGGAGCCCTACTCCTGGGGATATACCCAAAAAGCTCGAAATCATTTATTCACAAAGATATATGCACCCCTATGTTCACTGCAACCAAAGTGTCCTGCTATAGAGGACCGGATAAAGAAGATGTGGCACATATACACAATGGAATACTACTCAGCCATAAGAAAGGATGAAATAGCGTCATTTGCAACAACACAGATGGACCTTGAGACCACTATGCTAAGTGAAATAAATCAGACAGAAAAAGCTAAGAACCATATTTCACTCATATGTGGGGTATAAAACTGAAACTTAAGAACACAAACAGCAGTGTGGTGGTTGCCAAAGGGAAGAGGGGAGAGAAGGGAGTCCTTATATGAGGTGACAGGAGAAGATGTGACTTTGGGTGGTAGGCACATGGTGCTATATACAGAGTTTGTACCTTAGAAATCCACACATGAAACCTCTATGTTCATGTTGACCAATGTCACCCCAATAAAATGTAATAAAAAAAGAAAAGAAAATTACAAATAGGCAGGTGGATATACACCAATCTGCAGTTAAGAGCTGAGGCTAGATATATACTTAAGGGAATCATTACAATGTATTTAAAGTCAGGTGGAAATACATGATCCTAGAGAGGAGGCAGATTCTAGAGAAAGCTCAGGATCAAGCACTGAGGAACTCCACCACATGGGGGTCAGGTAGAAGAGGAAGAGCTGGCAATGGACATTGAAACCGAAAGGCCAAATAAAGCAGGAAGAAAAAAAGAAATATGTAGCAGTATAGAAGTCAGAGTATAGGTTCAAATCAATTATGTTAAACACTGCCTAGAGTTCACATGAACAGAAACAGGAATTGGCAAAATGAAGTCATGGGTGACTCATCTAAAGGAGTTTCAGTTTAGCACAGAGAAGAGCAGCCACACTTTATTGTAGTGAACGGGGGTTGGAAGTGAAAATAGCACATGCAGATTAATTTTGGGGAAGTCTGACTATAAAGGGGAGCAAAGAAATAATGGAGCAGCTAGAAGTGAGATGGCAGTACAAGGGGGATAAGCGATACTATATCATGTCCATATGTTGATATGAATAACCTAGCATAGAGAGAGAGATCAATGAGAGAGACATGCCAGGTGATTCTGTTGCTCAAAATAAAATATGAGATGAGGCTGTCTATAGCAGGGGAGATGTGAAATATAAGTTCCCCACATTTCAAAAAATATCTAGACCTTGGATGCCAAGCTTTATGATTTGGCAAGAAGGTGAGAAAAAATGTGGTAAAAGAACTGGAAGTGAAGCTTACCTCAGGGAAATCCACTGCAAAAATTAGTATAAATGTAACTAACCATTCCAAGGTTAGAGGAAAAGTACTAGCAAATTGCAAACACCTGACTGAAGAATATGTTTACTAGTAATTAATGGAGAATCTCACTATCCCCATTACACAGCTACTTAGAAATCTTAAAAATTTATACAGCCAGTTCAATTAAAATGTCTTTAAACTACCTACCCAGCCACCGTTAGGCACTGAAGTTCAGCTGCAATTCTTATAGGATGACTTGTTGGAATTAAGTGTTTTAGAGCAATTTTTTCTTCAGGTCCTACTTGTAACTGTGCTGTGGCCAAATAAACAGTGCTGAAAGTGCCTGTAAAACAATTTATTAGGTTTTTCAATTTTGGTTTATAAAAATGTTAATAAAGCAATGCTAAAATACATCATAAAACTACTTAGAATTATCATACTCATTAATTTTTTTTATATTTTATTGATTTTTTACAGAGAGGAAGGGAGAGGGATAGAGAGTTAGAAACATCGATGAAAGAGAACCATCGATCAGCTGCCTCCTGCACACTCCCTACTGGGTATGTGCCCGCAACCAAGGTACATGCTCTTGACCGGAATTGAACCTGGGACCCTTGAGTTCGCAGGCCGACGCTCTATCTGCTGAGCCAAACCAGTTAGGGCCTCATTAATATTTTAATAACAATGAACACAAAGAGCAGACACATCTGTGAACACAACTTATTTTCAATTTTTAATAAATTCTTAACAGTCCTCAGTTTTTTAGGGAATACTATATTAACTTTTAGGGGACACTATAGTCAGGGATCCTCAAACTACGGCCCGCGGGCCACATGCAAATACAAATATTGTATTTGTTCCCATTTTGTTTTTTTACTTCAAAATAAGGTATGTGTAGTGTGCATAGGAATTTGTTCATAGCTTTTTTTTAAACTATAGTCCGGCCCTCCAACCGTCTGAGGGACAGTGAACTGGCCCCCTGTTTAAAAAGTTTGAGGACCCCTGCTATAGTAAATCTGTTTGACTGGGTTAGCATAATGCCATAATCCATTCTAATAAGTATTTTTCTATAAGACTGTCATTTTAAACTACAGTCTCTTTGTCCTGAACATTTGCCATGGTAATTATGATGTGTCTTGGTGTGGGTCTTTTCGGGTTAAACTACTTTCTTAAGACTTGGATACTGGTCTGTTAGAAGTAGAAATTATATTCATCTTAGGGAAAAAAAAAACACACCTGGGCTTTTAAATTTAGCATTAAACTAAAGAGAGAAAAAAAATTCGTGGCCAATTAATCTTGAGAAATACTGAGTTAAAACAAATGGATAGATTTTTTTACTAAAATGTTTTCCAGAGCTGTTAATGTATTCATCATGAACAATCAAAAGGGAACTATACACACTATATCTCTCAAACTTATTTAGTAGAAACAGCTATCAATCTGTGAGGACACTGTTGTTTTCCAGAACAAAGTTTTTGCACGCTAAGCCAGTTTTCAAAAAAGACAAGGAAAAAAATGTAAAGATCTTACATCCCAAATCATCTCATCTCATCTTCTAATTTCTCTGCCCCCAATGACCCAGACTTTTCTCTTCTGACATTTTTCCTTGTGAAAAGCAAGCAAGGAAATACATGGAAGATTTTTAATGTTCAGGGATTTCTCTACATAATCACCAAAAAACTCCATTATCTTTTTATCCTCTCATTCCTCAATCTGTCTGCCAAATTCACCCTTCATTAAATCAAAATGATTGTCAGTTTTTCCTTTTTTAAAATTTTTTATTTAATCCTCACCTGAGGATATGGTTTTCATTGATTCTAGAGAGAGGAAGGGAGAGGGAGAGAGAGCAAGAGAGAGGAACATCGATCCGTTGTCTCCTGTACATGCCCCGACTAGGGATCAAACCCATAACCTGGGTATATACCCTGACCAGAAACTGAACTCAAGACCCTTCAGTGCATGGGATGATGCTCCAACCAACTGAGCCACATTGGCCAGGGCAACTGTCAGTCTTTCAATATTTATGTTAATACTGACCATCCTATAAATATTGTATCACATTATTTTCATCATTTTGCCATCTTATGTTTCATGTATGTTTCAATGTACAATTCTACCTAACTGCAATTGAGAAAGAGGATAAAGATTTGGCTTTTTGTATCAAATATCTCCATTTGAATATTAAATTTTTCATTTTTAGTAATCATCACAAATATATTACTAATATAGCAATATTTTTAATAGCATAAAAGTTTTATAAAGATTAAAATAGGGCTGTTAATTTTACTGTAAATACTTATTCTGTCATTCTTTCAAGGGAAAAAAGAAAAGCTGTTACCTTTATATTACTACTAATAACATAGTAATATATCTTAATATTTTTTAAAGGAGTGTTTTTCAATAAAAAATAATAATGAACATCAAGATTAAACAAGGAAAACAGAAGAGGGTAAAAAACTTAAAAAAATAAGTATATCCCCAAATTACCTTCTCCAATTTTGTCCTTTATCTTAAACACATTACGGAGCTGTGGTACAGCTTCATAAAGCTTCTCAATATCTTTTTTAACACCTATCAAGAAAAAAAACAATTTATAGTTAAGATTAATGAGAGTATATTTTACACTTTCTTTTTTGTTTTTTAAAATATGTCTTTATTATTTTCAGAGAAAGGACGGGAGAGAGAGAGAAACATCAATGATGAGAATCATCCACCAGCTGCCTCCTGCACATCCCCTACTGGGGATTGAGCCCACAACCTGGGCTATGTGCCCTGAGCAGGAATCGAGCTGTGACCTCCTAGTTCAACACTACCACTGAATCACACCAACTGGGCATACACTTTCTTAAGTTAAGAAACTCAAAATTCTAAAACATGAATTAAGTTACAAATATATAGGTATAATAAGCCTTAAAAATCATAATTATAACCCCATCCAATTGTTGTAAATCACATACAACTCCATCAAGCTATGGTAGCTCACATACATCTCTTGAACTAACAGACAAAATTGATAAGCCCCAAAATCACACACACAGAATTTCTACTATTCTGGAATTACTACATACTAACAGATACATAGTCTCTGCCTACAGTACAACACAATGAAGAAGCTAAATTTAAAAAATAACAATTTTTTCTATGATCACTAGATGGCATGACAAGGATAGAATGCAATTTCCTTGGAAACTACTCCTTCCCCCAAAGATACAAAATCTTACAGACTCGGGAAAGTTTTGTGTATTGTATATTCGCAGTATTGCCTTAGAGAGAAAGTCTACTAAGGCTCTGGGGAATTTTAAAAAAATCCCCAGAAGGGAAGTAGGGGAGGGCGGGGGTAAGGGGAAGAGATCAACCGAAGGACTTGTATACATGTATATAAGCCAAACCAATGGACATGGACAACAGGGGGATGGGAGCATGAGTGTGTGTGCGGGGGGAGGTTGAGGGTTAATGGAGGGAGGGGATAAGGACACATTTGTAATACCTTAATAATAAAAAAAAAAAAATGGGAAAAAAAATTATCCCATTAACAACAGTATGCTCTATCCTTAACAGCAGATAAATTGTTACTTTTAAATATATACAAGTTCTTTACAAAAATACACATGATTAAAATAAGAGAAGCTATAATACAAAATGAGATAAACTACTGGATACAAAAGAGAACTACGTACTTGAGTCATCAGATTTTATTCCAGTATCTACCAGTGATGGCGAACCTTTTGAGCTTGGCGTGTCAGCATTTTGAAAAACCCTAACTTAACTCTGGTGCCGTGTCACATATAGAAATTTTTTGATCTTTGCAACCATAATAAAACAAAGATTTATATCTTTCCCTGGCCTCCCTGCTCACAAAAGCCTCCGCAGGGTA